TCGGTTGCTTTCGGTTGATTGATTGAATAGTTGAGCAGCTTTAAACAAAAGTTGACTGGGTGAATAGTGACAGTGAACAGTAAAAGTGAACAGTAACTTTTTACTATTCATCACTTTCGGTGGAACATGTGAGTAATGGAATCAATACAAATACAAATTGGCAGCTTTTCTCAAAAGAGTATTGATTGAAGCTAATTTGTATCTCTATGGAATCCAGTGTTGATTATACAAATGGATCTTGAGCATCTTGAAACTCGGGTCCTGAATACTGATTAGTTGATTCTTCAGAAGAATGGACCTGGTCTGAACCGTTGTCTAAATTGTCTGAATCAGTGGATTGGGTTTTAGCTTGATCCAACAGTCGATGGGCTAACTGGATCATGTCTTCTTTGGATGACTGGGATTTATTCTTGGACTTGCTTTTGGGCTGAACAGGAGATGGAATGGGCTTTGCGGGCTTTGCTTTTGATTTGATTTTGGACTTAGGCTTTGATTGGGCTGGTTAAGCAGCAACAGCTTTGGACTTGGATTTGGATGATTTGGGTTTGGAGCCACTGGATGAGGGGCTTCCAAGGTTGACTGGAGGAAGACTGGGCTGGCTTCCTTGAGTGACTGCAGCAGTTGGGTTCTGCTGGGCTTTAGCAAGAGCAGGAGTTGGAGCACATTGATCAGGTGGGAATTCCTCTTGAACAATTTCCAGAATCCTGGGAACATTGTATTTGACCCACCATTTGACTGTGTGTTGGCGGATGATGATGTTATCATCAATCCCATAGTGCCATTTGAATATCCATGGAATTTTGTATTTGGCAATAAATATAAGTAATAATGGAAATTGCCTTTGGTGAGTAGAAAATGGGTAAACAGAGGCAAAATAATGAATTATGTTACTGAGATCATCAGGGAGGATGTCGGAAATGGCGCCATAGTGAGTCCACCATCTCAGAAACCAGGTAGGTAATTCAGATTTGAATTTTTGATCAAATGAAATGAACCAAGAATGACTAAAAGTTTCATTTTGGTACAAGAAAATCTTGAACCAGGCATCAACGTAATCATGATAATTATATTGAATAGAATGACCAGGTAAATCACGAAGCTGGTTAGGGTTTCCCCATTCAGCCATAGAAACAATGTTGTGAATATAAATGGAATGGTATAGGACCTTATAAGCATAGGTGCGATCCTGGATTGGCTTGATTAAAATGGAATGGTGGTTGATTAGAATGTCTTTGTAATAAGAGAGGGTTTTCTCTGGATGAGAAAGGGTGAAATGGAATCCAGAGCCAAAATGGAATTTAGCAATGTCATTAATGGTTTGATTTCGTGGGTGACTGGGTTCTTTATAGAACAGGTTGGTAACATGTGAATTGGTGTATTCAGATCTAGATGATTTAGCAGGGTTAACTGGGAACGGAGTAACTGAAACGGATTGGCTAGATACAAAAGGATCAGAGGCCAATGCAGATGAATAATCAGGACGATGAATAGTACCAAGGGTTTGGTAACGGTTAATCATGTCGAGTGAATAAGAAGGGGTGACTGACTCCAAAGGAGGAGGGACAATAAGTTGATTAGGTTTACTGGAGGAGGAGACCAAAGCCTTGGAAGGAGGCCTTGGACAAGACATCTGTTTGAAATAAGAAACAATGATTAGCAACCAGAAAGAAGATCTAAATAATCTTGATGATGATGTAAACAATTGTAGTTGTGAGCAAGTAAATTGCGGCGAGCTTGAATCTATTGGTAATTGATGTATTGGGCTCTTTTGGTAGTTGGTCGAGCTAATTTGAGGCGGTGAATGCGATGAGTAAGTTGGTTAATGAGGGTTTTGAAATAGGTAATTCGGGATTTATGGTAAGCGATAAATGGTGCAGTCATCCCTTACCCCCCTGTAAAAATTCCCGGGTAAGAAAATCAGGTAGGGAATTTTGACAACCAGGTATATAGGTAATATCAAAATCAAAAATACTTAAAATAGCTTGCCAACGAGCGAAAATTTGTTTACTAGCAAGATTTTGAACATCTTTTTCAAGAACATATTTAGCAGATTTGCAATCAACACGAAGTAAGAATTTTTGATTTAAAATATCATCTTGAAATTTTTGAATACATAAAACAGTAGATAAAATTTCTTTTTTAATAGTACTATAATTGAATTGTGCTTTATTCCAAACACCAGAATGATAACGAACAATTTGTTTAGATGAGTGAGGAGTAAGTTGCTGAAGTAGAATGCCACCATAACCAATATCGGAGGCATCGGTTTGAATAATTTTGAATGAATTTTCAGTGGGAATACCAAGACAAGGAAGAGACTTGACATACTGTTTGACTTGTTTAACAATAGAAGTATGAACAGAAGACCAAGGAGGAGGATTATCCTTTAACCGATTAAATAGGGGTTGACAAGTTTTCCTAAGGTCTTTATAAAATTCAGCAATGTAATTGAGGGAGCCTAAGAACCTTTGTAATTGGGTTTTGTCAAGAATTTCATCAGGGAATTTAGATGCAAACTCAATGGATCGACTAATGGGTAAAATAGTATTATGATGAATATCGTATCCTAAAAAACGAACTTTAGTTTGAAATAATTTAATTTTGGGAGCAGAAATAACAAGACCATGACTTTTAATTGTGTAAAAGAATGCAGTTAAATGTTTCCAGTGTTCACTAAGTGATTTTGAAAAAATTAAGATGTCATCAATGTAAACAATTGAAAAATGACTAAATGGGTTAAATATGTCATTCATGATATGTTGAAATTCACTAGGAGCATTTTTTAAACCAAATGGCATGACATTCCATTCATATTGACCAAAGGGTGTATTAAATGCAGTTTTATATCGATCTTTAGGATGAATTTGAATTTGCCAAAAACCACTTTTCAAGTCAAATTTACTAAAGATAACAGCTTGACTAAGTCGTTTAATTAAATCTTTTTTATTAGGAATAGGATATCGGATCCATTCTAAAACATCATTTAAAGGTTTATAATTAATAACCAATCGAGGGACACCTCATTCTAATTCAGCATTCTTATTAACATAAAAAGCAGAACAAGACCAAGGTGATTTACTAGGACTAATGATTCGATGTCGGAGTAATTCATTAATCTTTTTTTTACACAGTTCAAGTAATTCATGATTCATTTGAATTGGCCTAGATTTAGTAGGGATATGGCGTTCATCAAAATTTTTAATATATGGTAAGGTAACGACATGTTTTTTTCTATGCCAAAATGCAGTAGGTATAGGGGAGCAAACAGTTGATTCAAGTTTTAATTTAAAATCATTGATTTGAGAAACAAGAACTGGATTAGTTAATTGTTGGTCAATGCGTTTGTGATTTATTTCTTCTTTAAGAAATTTTAAATGCCGAGTCAGGCGGCTAATTTGATGAGAAATAGAACAGTCTTTTAATTGGTTTAAGTGTAATAGTTCAGGAGGAGATAAAAATTTGAACGTAACAGGTTGTCCTAAAACATGTGTAGTTATTCCTGTACTAGATGTAGTAAAAGGATATAATAAATAGATAAATGGAGATCCTAAAATAATTTTATCAGTCATATTGGTAACTAGAACAAACGAGGTTTTAAAACATACATTGTCTTGGCACACATGTACTTTTGGTAATTTATATTTGATATGCATTTTAGTACCATTAGCAGAAGTTAATTTTTCTTGACATTTTTCATAATATGTAGTAGGAAGTAATCCTTCTTGTATGCAATTTAAATCAGCACCAGTATCAATTAAAGCAATTAATTCTAATTCAAAATCATTAACAATTATTTTGATTTTAGAATACCACTTTTGAATGTAAAGTTTGTTGATTAAACTTAATCGCTTTTCTTCAGGATTATTGGATTGAGAATGGTGTGATCGGTTGTCAAATATCAAATTTTCAGGATCAGATTCATGTTCAGATTCATGTGGGGATTCGTGCTCATTAGTTTGGAAATTATCTAAGCTTTTATCAAGTTTGAGAGCAATAATTTCATCTTCGAGTGTTTTATCTTTACATTGCAATTCTTTGATTGTTTGTTTAATCTGATTGATCTCTTGTTGTAAATCTTGTAAGGTAACTTCTTTTTGTTTATTTTTAAATCTGTCTAAAGTTTTGGATAGACTGATTATTGGTTTATCAAACTTTGGTTTGGTATCCGAATGGATTAATAGGGATTTTAATTTATCAGTATATTTTTGTTTTAACTTGGGATCATCTAATTTACTAATTAGATCGATTAGAGCGGATTCTTCTTGAGTAGTTTTGGTGATAACGGTAATTTGTTTAATTGGTTTACAACAAACATCATTACATCCTATATTAATATTATTATCAGAATCATCACTAGGGGATTGGTAGTCAGACGAAGTATTAGGATGATTAGAAGAAGAAGTGCTACTGATAGTTTGATTTAATTGAAAGATTTCATATAGTTGATTTTTGGAATTATCATCAAGTTGGAGTTGGTTAACTCTGTCTTTTAATTTTTGTTTGTCTTTACATTTATTTGAATAATGTCCTTTTTGACCACAATTATAACAAGTAATATCTTTAGTTGATTTAGATTTTGGATGGGATTTGGATTTATAATATTTCTTTTTGGGTTTAGTATAGAATTTATCATTGGATTTGGAAGGTGTATAGTTCTTCTTATACTTATATTTATTGGAATGTTTGTATGAAACACAGATTTAGATCTGTTGGTCCAACAAACACACAGAACACAGATTCACATTCGATCGGGGCAAGAGAGAGAGAGACAGAGATTGAGAGAGAGAGAGAGAGAGGCTTACCCGTGAATAGATTGGTGCGATGAGAGAGTGAGACGATCGGTGCGATGATATGAACAACGAGAGAGTGAGAGAGACAGTGATGAGATGAGAGTGATCGCCGATCGGTGCAGAAGATGGAGATGAACAACGAAACGAGAGAGTGAGAGAGACAATGATGAGATGAGATGAGATGAGACTGAGAGTGAGAATGATACCATTATTTAAGTATTCCACCAATAGGTTCAAGGCAAGACAGAGTAACCATATTGACTTTCGACTATGGTTCCTATATGCAGTATGTAGGAAGATTGAATCAAGAAACATCTCAACTTGGTGATGCTTCTCTCCCTTTTCTTCCATGCTAGGATTTCACTCTATTTAGTTTCCGAAGAGAAAAAGAGAATTCCAAAATTCTAACATACATTCTCAGCAACCAAACTAAGCACAAAAGAATAATTGAAGAAAAAAAAGTTCTCCCCAATTAAAAAAATGGAAAGCTGAACAAAGAAATTTTACCTGAAAAGTGTGTGAATATCAGCTGTTGTGGAAACCATTTGGCCTGAAAAGTGGAAACCTGACAAATTAAATCATTTCATCTACAAATATCAACAATTAGAGGTGATAACCATTTGGCCCTTCCAATCTACACATTTGTACCTTACTCGCCAATTAATTTTTATATCACGTGGTGTCAGATAGTCAATTTCAAATCCCTTTTCACATTTCAACAGTATTACTCACATGCTCTAGCATATGATACAAACCATAAAGTATGGGTGTCGCACTTCAATACTAGTAGTGTATCACAAAGTTATCAGGTGCAGAATAAGATCAATTTAAAGAACAATATGAGAACAAGAAAAAAGATACCAGGAACTCAACATGTATCAAAACTTGATAAATTCAAAGTACCCACCACATATGCGTTGGGCATACGTCAATGAAAACCAGTTTTCAGCTTGCTCAGTGTTAGTGACTTCTTCCTCACTCTCCTAATATACATAAAAGGGAAGAATAAGAATAGGCTATAATCCAAGCAGGTTTCCAGGTTGCTCAAACTATAACTGATCAAAATCAATCCTTCGATCATTTAAACTTCATTATCATCATAAGGTTGACAAAGGATTTCTATAATCACTTAGTGCTCTTAGTGCTGACATTAAAATAATTTGTCTCCCTCTCAATTTTTCATCACAGTTGGTTGAAAGCAAATATTTGTGGAAGCTGCATGATTTACACAATAATGGAGCAAAAGTGTCGGATGAAATTCATCTTTTGAAAAACTTACTATGAAAATCGAGGTTAGTTTTCTATTCGTACTTAGTTTAGCATTCATCCAGCTGTCAGAACCTTTCAAAATTTTTGAATTTAACTTTTGGAAAAGGCCAGAAAGCCAAGGTAAAGCCAAGTTGCACATAAAGGCAACTAATGATGGTACAGTTCGTGCTGTTGTTTCATGGTATAAATGTTGGTACCGTAATTACTATTTTCTATCAAAATTTTTTCTAGGGATGGTTATTCCAATATCTCAGTTTCTTTTTCAGGTGGGTACTTTAGCTTGATTGTGAAGCGACAATTTTCTATTCCATTGGCCCAAAATGGATAAGTTTCCCATTCAACAAGGAGTTACAGTTATCATTCCCTAGTGAGTGAAGGCGTTTTACATTACTTTATGTAATTATAATGTTCTAAAGTGGTGTTTGGAAGTTGCCTTAGAATGAGGAATCAATTAACATATAAAGCATGATGCTTTTTGGTTATTTGTTTATGTTGTCTCTTAGTTAGAATTAGGGAACAAAAAAGTGAAGGCTAAGGATAGTGCTAAAGCATGTTACTTTAATGAAACACGCTGTTTTTTCATTTTCTTAGTTGGACATCCTAAATCATTTGAAGAAGTAGGTCATATCTACTTCTAGAAATCACACAAGTATTTGAAGTTGGTTGCAAGTAATTTAACTAGAAATTAGATCTCCATATGAATGCATTAATGCATCTTTCTATTGTACTTAAGACTTAATTGGAAGTAATGTATTTACGAAGCTATTCTCAAATTCAGAGTAGGAAATTATACATGTCTACTTTCAGCAAAGGGTTCAATTCTTGAGCAGCTCTTGGTAGATGGTGAACTAAATAAAGCTTACATATTGGGATCCTCCGCATCAAATTCTATAATTTGATTCTCAATTAATAAAAGGTGCATTTTATGATTGTTATTTATTTATTTATTTTAAATTGGTTTTCATTTTATCAAAATTTTAATTTTCTTTGTTTCTTGTCTAGGTTCAGGGGATTGGTGTGACCACTGAAAACAATGTGCTACTTAACACAATCAAACTTAATAGTCCTCAATATAATATGCGCAAACCTTTTATGTATACCTCGCTGGTGTTTCATCATTTGGATGCCCCATTTCATAGGGAAACCAAGTGTAGTTTTCATTATTCATTTTAGAAGACAAACTACAACAATTAACACCCTCTAAAGGTAGACTAGATTCAAATTGGATATGGGCAATATTATTTCTGAATTTCAAAAAATAAAGAAAAAAATGAATCATCAAATAATTTCAGAAGGTAAATCCATCTAGTTCAGTAAACCATAAAAGCACCTCAAAGGAGCATAAGAATAGGCTAACCTCACCAATCCCCATAAAGGCACACATGACAATCAAGAAAGGAAGCCCAACTCTGGCAGCAATAGGTGTCAAAACTGTTGTAGCTGACGACCAGATCACTCCAAAACCCAATACTAGTTTCCCACTAATTTTATTTTCCCAGATACCTCCAAGAATCTATTTGCCAAAGAAATATAAAAGAAATCTAGTTAGTAAAGAAGGATGGCAAGAATTATTCAATAAAAATAAATAAATTACATGGAAGGACAATATCTCATCAAGAGCAATGAAGAGTTGATCACTATTTCAAATGTACAATCACCAAAGTATGTGGATTACAATTTCAACCACTGGCTTAGATGATGACAGCCAGAAGCATACAGATTCAAAATCGTGACTGTTAATTGTTTCCAGATAAAAGGACCAAGACCCACTATAGGTGATAAACAAGAAGGGTTGTGTGAGTATGTGTGTGCACGCTAGATATATCTGCATTACAATTCTAAAAGTCCAAGTATCAGGGTTGATACAACATATAAATGACATTTGAAGATTAGAACCAATTGCTAGTTCTGAGTTAGTGAAAAAAAAAAATAACAATTTTAAACCCCTTAGAACCATATATGCGGGTGGTGGAAGTCAGAAAAAGCACTTTTATGGAGTTTTACATAAATTCTAAAATTGCCTTTTCTAAAAAGCAAAAACTGCCAATGTTTGAGTCAAGTTGAGTGGGGAGATAGCCCCAGAAAAAGGAAGACTGAATGAGACCAGCTGTTGCACCGTTCCAGTTAAACTCTTGTGAAGATGGAAGTATTGCAATGCTCATATTCACCTAACAAGAAAAATTTAGAGCAGTTAGAATTTGAAAATATGATTTCATCTTGGTTAAGAATTGTTCAATATAATAGAACTGCCTTGCAGGTTGCAACTACTTAGGAGGAGAAGAAATATTCACAGTGAAAGCTAAAAATTATTTCAGAAAATATAGAAGAAAAAAAAGATTCAAGATTTGGTTTTTATAGACTATCCTCTGTTTCCCAATTACCAAATAAAGTAGCTGAGGAAAATACTCACTTTTTAATGATTCCTCATTTTGATATTTGCTCAAATTTAGGTCATTTGGAAAGAATGAAGTAAAATCTCACTGGTATTGCCTAATGCGAACAACTAATTGGCTTCGGTTGGTGAATTTTTTTTTTTTTTTTTGGGTGAATAAGACATAAAATAGAACAAAAAAATTTACAAGTTTATAGGGGACATGCCCTAGGCCCTACCCACACAACACAACAGCTAAGAAGCCACATGTAACGAAACCACTGAAGCAAAGCCACACAACAACAACAGCCACCCAACACTCTCTTCCTTCCGAAACAAAAATGCATACTGCTATAAAAACCATACTGAATACAGAAAAATCTAGCATGCAATAAAACTTGTACATCAGATTAGAGTAGAACACAGGGGCAAGAAACAATAAAAGAATTGTCAAGGTGCAACATAACTGAAATTTATAAATTCAGAATGCAATTTTAGAACTCAAACCATCCACTTAAATCTTGGGATTGTAATGCCATGCATACCTAGCTGATGTGGCCAAGATATTTGGTTTCCCAGAATTAAATCGAACAGATATAACTGTGTCTTTTCCCCACTCAAAGCTATTCGCAGGCTGGGACCTATTTACAATGAGAAAAAATAGCATGTAAAGGTAGAAAAAATTCAGGAAGTTAAAAAGAATCAAAACAAGTAGAGTTTCAAAACCTATTATGATCCCATATATCTACTTGAGCTCCAGCTGTGGCAAAGATATTACCCTCATATTGGTGATCAACAGCCCTAAAAAACATATTCATCACAGATTGAATGTGTTAAATCAAAAATTAACTCCAAAAACAGATTTAATTTTAATTTTCATAACAAATTGATTCAGAATTCCTGAAAATATAAAACAACTACGAGTAGTAGTTACAGATTCAAACCATTCCTTAAGCACAAACCATTCAATTCCAAAACACTCAGACCTTGATTTTCAATTTAAATTTAATTTAATTCCAAAACACACAAACCACACAAACATTCAAATTTAATTTTCAATTTTTACAGATTTAAATCCTAATCATTTAAAAAATCACTCTAAAGAATCTAGAATCATAACTCAGACCTTGATTTTTAGATAACAGACATATACTCTTACCTTTGATCTAAGATCAAACAGATTCAGATCACACAGAACACACAGAACACAGATTCAGATCACAGATTCAGACCAAAACAGATTCAGACCAAAACAAACACACAGAACACAGATTTAGATCTGTTGGTCCAACAAACACACAGAACACAGATTCACATTCGATCGGGGCAAGAGAGAAAGAGACAGAGATTGAGAGAGAGAGAGAGAGAGAGAGGCTTACCCGTGAATAGATCGGTGCGATGAGAGAGTGAGACGATCGGTGCGGAAGATGAAGATGAACAACGAAACGAGAGAGTGAGAGAGACAATGATGAGATGAGATGAGACTGAGAGTGAAGTATAGACAGCGATTAGGGTTTTTTCTTTTGTTTGTTATAGATGAGGTGAGTGAGATGGTGAGAGATGGACGGTTAGATTTGAAAGAGGAAAAAAAAAAGTAATTTTGGCGACTAAAATATTAGTCGCTAAAAATATAATTTGGCGACTAATTTTTTTTTGTTGCTGAAAATAAGTTTTTGGCGACCAAATTTTTGGTCGCCAAAAAATGTGACCTTCCGCGACCAAATTTGTAGTTGGTCGGTAAAAGTATACCACTTTTTGCGACCAACTCATTTTTTGGTCGCCAAAATATAATCTTCTGCGACCAATAATATTTGGTCGCCAAAATTAATGATCATTCGCGACTAATTGATATTTGGTCGCCAAATGTCATTTTTTGGCGACCAAAATTTTTTTAGTCGGCAAAAGTGGTCGCAAAATGTGTAAATTCTTATAGTGTGATTACGATACACATCTTAGTCAAGACTATTTGATCTCCTACAAGTCAAAAGTTTTGAGATGATTTTGACAATGCACATATGAGGTCAAGATCAATTAGATAAGAGTTTTCGTACTTTTAGTTTTGACCGAGGTGACGAGTATCTATTTGAGTTGTTTTTAAAAAGCTCTGTGAAGAGAAAAAGTTATTTAGAAAATTGATTATTCCTAATACTCACCAACACAAAGGTGTAGTAGAGATAAGGAATTAAGTATTGTTTATGTTAGGTGGATGATGGCGCAATATGTTTCCCAATTGAAAATTGCACTTTAGTTTGTTGCCTATGTCCCTAACTAAGTGCCCTCCATATTAGATTTTACACTCCATTTGAGTAATAGGTTAGCGGAGAGCCATTTGTGAGTGATCTATAACCATCAAGTAGCTTATCTTTATTTTACTTTTCAGAAGGTTATGAAGTTAAGACCTAGAGCTCTATGGCGCATTATTGTATGATGTCTTATAAATGCTTAGGGTTATGTGGCATATTATTGTATGTTGTCATGTAAACCCTACGGGTCATGTGCTTATAGGTGAGCAGCTTTGTGAGAGTGCAACTAAGTCATATAAAGTTTTCTTAGTAAATGTGACGTGAATTTAGTTTTGGAACTCTATAAGATAAATAACTCTAAGTATGACGCTTTATGTAGCCTAGTTGAGAATGAAAAGAAATTTCTAATATCCTAGGGACAGTGGGAGTGACGTGCCTACTAGTGGATTACTCAATTAGAGAAGAATATTCTACATTCTTATTTGCGTAGTAGCAAATATGAAAATTTTCCACGTCATCACTAGGTTATTTGGAAGGAAACATTCATGATTGCTCTGCAAGATGATAAAGAGCTTAGGATAATGCCAAAGGCTCTCTAGTCCCATACTTTTAGAAGTGGATCAATGTTGCGCATCTTAAGATAAAGTTTTTAAGGATTAACCACTTCTAGGATTTGGTTGACTTTTCGCTATAACGTGAAACTGTTCTAAAGTTATGCGCGATTTGGATAGTCACTTTTTCAGACATAAGGCTTGCTAGATATCGAAAAATCGCACCAGTAAAGAAGGTGTAGACCATGAGAAGACTTCCTTTTAGGGAGTGAAGTTACTTTGACTTAGGCTATGATTGACATGAGTTTGAAACTTTATTTTGTGGATATTGTGACCCAATTTCTAGTTAGAGAATTGGATAAGTAGATCCGTAGGGATTTACTTTTTGCTTTTATAGTGAAAAGCTAGGAGCACAGAAAGATTGCTAGTTCTAATAAATCTTTTACAACCTAAAACAGTTATCCAAATAGTGGTTCTTAGATTTTATTGAGCCATGATGGACCAACGATGATAAATCAAGACCATTGAGGCATGATCAATGGTCCAAAATAAGTTTTTCCTTACTTTGCCATTATAAGCTAGAAGTTTATAGGGTTTTCATCATCTAGGGTTGACTGTCATCTATTTAAGACATCATAGACATGGGTGATGTAATTTATATGCTCGAATGTACAGTCCTTAGGGATTGTTTTAGGAGAATTCTCTGTTTTTCTTTGATGATTTACATAAGGAATATCCTAGAATGATTCTAGATGCAAAATTACAAATCCATTGACTTATATCGGTAAAAGCTAGAGCCTCAGCTATTGAGTAGATCCTCAGATTGTTTCTAGAAGAAACAGCTGACCTATATTCCTTGATCTTTTGTTGTGGAAGCCTAAAGTATCTATGTAGGCGTATTCGGCATGATGAGTGTTATCTTTTGTAAATGGTCAACTGAGGAATTTAAACATTGACCTTACTCATTAGACAATGGATAGGATGCTCTACTAGTAGTGTATAAATTTGCTTCTTGTAAGATTCAATGCACTAGTTCGGCGCATCTTGAATGAATACAAATTGGTCACCAAAAGATCTTTAGAGAGGTAATTGCGCAAAAGGTAGTGATCTTGAACCATTTCATGTGAGGCGCACATGGTGGATTTCGTTGTATATGCTTATTGCAAGAGCTTATGCTTGGAATTTAAAATTGCGTAAATTGTGGTTGTATTTCTTCAATCGATTACTTATTTTTGTGAGATTATGGTATATTGATGCTATTATGGTTTATGTCATAATGATTAACAGATGATGATATCAGCAAGCAAGATTGGCTCACTCACATGAGTAATTGCCTTGGCGCTTGAGAGCGAGTAAGGATGAGACTAGTGGTTTATTTTATTTGGAGCCAAGAGAGGCTTAAATTATCGACTATATATGTTGCCTTGGTTGCAACCAAGATAAGGTCATGTTAAAGACCAAACATAGATGTTAGTATCCACTTTTTATGTTGCGCCTGTTATGATTAGCCAGATGCGAGATCTCATTCGACACTTGAAAGGCGAGCAAATAAATAATTCGGATTAGGCGCTAGAAAGCGACTTGCACACTTAACAGTGACTAGACTAAGATATGTATGGTATATCAAGTATGATGGTACTCTTTGGAAGAGTTACTCCACCGTAGCGTGTGTATTCATACTACATGTGTTTGGTGACCAAGTAATGAGGTGAGAGAATGAGTCCCTATTTTCTTACCATATGAGTCTTACATGTCATCATTGATATGACTTTCACTTTTGTACCCTTTTGTGACCTTTGACTATGTCATAAGGCGAGGGGTTGATGTTCTGCTATTTTGGTATGCTACCTGCGATCATGTATAATTCGACCTTAAGGGACTCCACTGAGAAAGCGGTCAATCCTACACTAAATGGCATAAGGGTGAAGGGAATACCATTTAGTATTACACCTCTGTTGTATATTTATTGTCAGCAACTTACATCGCTCTGTATGAGAGGCGTATTGAGTGTGGATATATTGCAATATTTGAAAGGGTCAAGCATGCTCTTTTTTAGGAATTAGAGATGTTTTTGGACCGGTGTAATTGGATGACTCTAGAGTATATGAGACACTTTTTTTGTTTTCGGGTGAATGTCTCTATGCTAGCTCTTTTGAGTTTCTAGTGTAGAGCTCTCGCATGCAGGTGTTCTCAAAAGTCGCATGGTCTACTAGCTAGTAGATCGTGTTTAATGGATAGATTGAGATAAAGGAAACGCGGTGTCATGCCAACGCATATTCAAGTGAGAGATATTGGAAATTGGGTTAAGTTTAGAACCCATACCCAATTGGGTTGCCCATGGTGGCATGACTCAAGACCCACAAGGAGAGACCCAGTCAAATGGACTTGGATTAACTTATCTTGAGAATAAGTGTGATTAACTCACTATCTTATCTCTTGTAGAGATAGAGTTGTGGGTGATTATAACTCTCTCACATGATATACGTATTATATTTGAGAGAATAAGAATTTAACCATATGGGTAATCAGTATCTTTTTCTCTCTCTCTTAGACTCTTTATTCTTTCTCTTTTCATAGAAACACATGATAACCTTTGTACTATGAAGAGTCTGGGTTGTTCTCTAGTAGTTGTACTCCACTGCTTGGAATTATTTAAAAATATTAATGGAGGCACGGGATTCACTCAAATAATTTATAGATTTGGTTTGAGCATAAAAGGTATACTTGAATTCGTTTATTTTCGTTGTGTAATTTCTTATTTTTCCTACACAGATGATATACAAAATGCATAATTTAAATTATCAAAGTAGGATTTGTAATGGACCTATAGATCCGAATAATTGTCACAGAATTCAATATGAACTTGAAAAAAATTCAATCATGATTTTAAAGAGGCAATATACTTTTCATATCTTGTTAACTTAAGAAGTGTGTAATGAATTCGGAAAATTCTTCATGCTTTTCTTTGACCAAAAATTTTAGTCCCACGTGGGAGAAGTAAGAACGTTGGATTTAAATCATTCTGAGATTAAAATTGAAAGAGCAAATATCTTTTTAGAGAAATGTAAGTTTTTTTTTAATTAATTTTTTAATTTTTTATGAAAAGAAATATAGAAAAATAGAGAGAAGAGTTGACTTTTTGATAATAATTTTTTAATTTTTTGACTAAAATAACTTATTGCCAAACTTACCCACCAGTTTCATAGAAAAATATATGAACTTCTCTTTTTAATGTACTAAGTTTTCACTAATTTGAATTTTTTTTTTTTCTATATTTCGCCAATATGATATTTCCTCAATTTGAAATTAGTAATATATAAGAGATTAGGTTATATATAAGAGAAAAGGGTATATTACACTGACCTCTCTTGAGGTTTGAAAAAAATACAATAAGTTTTATAGTTTTAATATAATTATACTAACCTTTTTTTTAATAAGATTAAGTAATTAAAAGTAACGCAAATGGCACGAAAACACATAAACAAATAACGTAAAATATACATTTTCATGTAAATAGACCATAATATCATTTTTTTAATTGTATAATTTATAGTATTTTTTTCAAATTTTAAGAAAAATGTAATTTAGCCAAGAGAAAATATAGAATGGAAGGACAAGAAATGATTATGTTTTATTATTGGATAAAATAATTTAACTAATAATCCCGTGATCATGAGATTACCAATATCAGCGGAGGTTAGCAATACCCGCCATGA